TGTATATATACGTTTTGAATTGTGTTTGTTGTTATCGCTCGTTTCTGGCTGTTTGCAGAATATACTTCCCCATTCCAAGCTTGGAGTTCTCCCTCTAGTTGGCAAGGATGGGATGCATCAATAGCTAGCTTACTGGGCTTTGATCACCGTGTCTTGTTTGTCGTTCACAGATTAAGTAAACTCGTGATAGCTTCAACCGCATCAGTTCATAAACAAGGGTATTAGACAAATAATTGTTACACTAAATCGCAAACCGACCAAAGTTAAACAACTATTGAAAACCTGGACGCATTGGACGATCATTTTGTCTTAGTTTCACGCTAGGATGAAACGGCCGTTCCGTGCTTTGAGTTTTGAATAGTCATATGACTTTTCTCATTTCTTTATTTTAATGAAGTTGAACAATCTCCAGAACCCTATACTGATGTAAAACTGCTTGATAAATGAACGTTCTTTAAAACTCTGAGAAAGTAACTGTAAATTTCTGTTGATATTGGAAACAAATAATTAGTTACAACTTATGAGAACACATCGTTGTTTAAATGCATCATAATGAATACCACTTATTATAATTTACCTTGTTCAGGGAATGCCTTAAGTGCTTTGCAAACTTCATTGTTGCTATTAGACTTCTGTCCTAGAAATAAAATTCAAACGAATAATTTCACATTGGTTTTGTTACTTGAACTGATCAGTATTTGAAGTGGAAAGAAGCTTTGAAAAGTCCTCAAGAAACCAGTAGTCTGATTAAATATAAAAGTCTATTTCCCTAAACATTCATAGCTGATTGGTTAACATTACTTCATTTTTAAAATACTTCACCGAATGAATTATGAAAGTTATCTGTTCAGAAGAGGAAGATGAATCTTTCATAATTCGACGATCCAGATGACAGCGAACAGAAGAATATGCGACGCAGAAGGATATATTTTATAACCGTTTTATAAAAAGTCAGTATTTTACATATTTCTCGATTAGTATCATCAAGTTCAGGCCCTATTGGTGATCAAAATAAAGCGGTGAATTCTATATCATATATTAGTTTATGATAAGAACGATTGAAGTTCTGATTCGTTCAGCCTTTCTCAAATTTATTTACATTGCCTATCCTCGAAAGTGTGTCTGGAATGACAGCCACTCGAATGACTATTATAATGTGAACTGTATAAATGCTGTGTTTTATCATGTAAACTCAACATATCTTTTAATAATGTAATGACGTAAAATGTAATATTCATTCTTAGCTATTGCCAGTGTATTGAGTAAACTCGCAACAACAACAATGTAATTCTAAGTCAAATAGTAACAAGTTTTGCTGACGTCATTTACTTAGTCTGAATGATTACGTTTGTGGTCCCTCAAACAATTGTATCACTTATATGAAATAAGTGGGGTTCTTATTGTTGAAAATATTCAATGTCCAATACCATCTGAAATAAGTCAAATGTACGTTGGTTGTTTTGTGAGTGTTTGTATTTTCCAGACATTTTCATGAATTCTGAAATCCTCTATTGAATTGAACAAGTATTATTCACCGTTGAATTTAAGTTGAAAGGACCAATTAAAAACAAACAGGTAACAGTGATCACTAATTGTCTTTTAGTTTTAGGACTAGGAATGCATATCTACAAGTCATTCATTATCAATTTGTCTACAGTGAAACATCATTTATATTTATTCAATTCATGAATGTGTAATGATCATCTGTAAGCCTTATAGACTATTCCAATTTCTTAATTAGGTGATTAATCGCATATATGCAAAACAGGAGTGGCAATTTTCATATAGTAATTGAATGAGAAATGTACATATTATTTATGTAACTACACATTTAAGAATATTTTCACTGACCTTCTAAAATCTTTTCTTGTTCTATGAAGCAGTTCTTCAGAGTTAAATAATCAGGGACTGTAGTATCAATGATACACAAGAAAAGTAGATGAAATTAACTTCAAAATTATAGAAGGAAAAACAGATTACTATAACAACTAAATGTCAAATCTACTACTTCAATTCAAATAGTTCACTGTATTGAAAACAAGTGACTGCTTTTATTTTCGAAAGTTATATATACATACATCGATATTACATTTATGAAAACATTTTCGGAGAACACTGCACGAAAGCAAACATTGTAAATCATAAGCACCATCGATATTGAATCTACATTCAATATTGTAAGGGACAATTATTTAAAGAAGAAGAAAAAAGACAAAATCGTACATGACATTAGATGTTTATTTTCAAACTGTTTATTCATTTCTAAAATATTTAAATGAAGATAAACAGATTTTCATTTTTATGGTATCTAACAATAGGAATAGTGAAATTTGATTTTAGTTATGAGGAAAGCAAGGTAGTGGTTAGCAGTGGAATCCAGGACGTGCGTTTCATCACCCTATTGCACAAGCAGGTGGCTATCAAGACTCAGTAGATAAGTGGATAATGTGATGGCATTTGAGGCGTACGATAGTGTAGTTCGAGTCTCAGAGTGAAAATCCATCTGACGAGTCCCAAATGAGACGAAACGCGCATCCTGGATTCCACTTCTAGCCACTATCCATTTTTGTTTCTAAAGCTTGTGACTTCACGCAATATCGAGGCAGTCCTTACAGAATGCACATATGCCAACAAAAGACTGATCAATCGTAGTTCTAAATAACAATACAAGTAAACTACACTAAATGAACAATCTTAGTTATGTTTAAAGATTATAAGATGATAGTGTTTTAGTTTGTAACCAAAATGGAGCTCTTGTGTTGACAGTCGAATTTCACTATTGGTGAAATATTTCCAAATTAACTACATATATAGAGTGCTTATTCGTAATATTCTGATAAATAGAAAGATTAAATAGTTTATAAGTCTCGAGGAAATTTAAACAAACTGTTCAACGAATCAGTAGCCTCCTTCAGTTAGAGCCAGTGTTAAACAGAAAGGTGATTGAATGCACACAAATAATGGTGACCGGAAAATTGTCATGTTATTTAAGCCTACAACTTTATTCACTTCAAATTATGTGGTTACATCTTGGTAGTGATAATATAAGAGAGATTGTCTGCTGAATCTGGATAGTTTGAAACATGGTATACATGCTTTAATACCATTCTAATTCATTTGGACACATTTTGTTTAAATGATCTGAAATGTTCATGGTGTTTTTTAACACAGATCAGGAATGTGATCACGCTAATTATCATTGCGTCGTTTTGTGTAACTTCTAGAAAGTAAGTATAATAAAGAAGTAGGATGATTTGTGATCCTATTTGATTTGTGAAAAATCGAAATGACTGAAACAAATCAGTGTAATGATGTATGCGTGTGAATGATGAGTTAAGATCTACACTTCGACAAAAGTTTATTAGTAATATATGTTCAAACCTTTGAGAAATAAACTGAAGGATTCTTTGTGTTGTTGTTTACTTTTACACTTCACATCTAAAATCAACCATGAGATTTAATGTAAATAATCTTGATTTTAGACATACATTTTTCGATCGCTTTAAGTCTTTTAGGTTGACTCTGAATAATCTTATCTGAAAGAAACAGACATACATTTAAACGATAAAATGATTTCAGTTTTATTCTTAGAAATTCTTCAAACAAATAATTAGTTAAGTATGAGAGATTAGTACAGTTCGTTGTTTACATCATTGCAAACTAAGAAACACCTAGACTTCTGAGCAAAACGTATCCAAACCATGTGTTTTATCCTCTTGATCGATTACGTTTGCATACTACTGAGGAGTTTCATGCTATAATAAAACAATTGTTGAGTGCACATAGGTTTACGCTGGTTGTCTCACTAAGATCAGTCTGTGATGTAAACTATGAAACACGACATTTATCAGTCACCTCACAGGATGACTATCCGTTATTTAGAAAGCAATCAAAAAAAGACTAAGTGGATGAAATGTGCCAAATAATTCGTTACTATAGATGTAGTGAACAAGAACACCAGTGGGAACAAAGAGATGTACTTAACTCAAAATACAGGACTTGTTAATAAAATCTGACAATTATAAAGTAAATGCTAAATTTGCAAAATGTCCATCAATTGTCTCAAAATGACTCAGATTTCATTGTTCTTGCACTTTCATACAAATTCCATCCTGTTTCCATTCTTTACTGTTCTAAATATTCTTGTCTCTCTGCTGCCAGACCTTCTGTTCACGACTAACATCATGTACTACTAATGTCAATATAAGTAGCACACACTACATAGATAGATGCTTTGTCTTTTAATTTCTTTTTTACATGTTAATAAGTTGTGTTATGCATGAAAGTATGCTTAGGACATGTAGATTTTCTTAGTTATGTATTTGCGTACAGAAATCAGTTCATATTTCACTTACTTATTGTGGTCTGTATTGACTTTTCATTTTGTCTGAAATAAGCCATTCCGCTTTCTACATCATCTGTAAATTGGACAAAGAATATTCTATTGAAAATGTAGATTTCTTAACTCAGATTACAATTTCACAATTTTAATAATGACCATTGATATCACCTTCTTGAACATCAGAATTATTTGTAGAACACAATAATACTATTCATTATTTATAGGTCCTGTGTTCGAGTCTCGCGAGGCGCGATCAAAGATGCGCACTGCTAAGGAATCCCACAATAGAACAAAACGGCCGTCCACTGCTTCCAGGTTATCTATGGTGGTCTAGCTTTAATTGACTCATGATCTCAACTATTGAAGTTACATTATTTGTATGCTAATTATGCACGCTCATAGCCTTATATCATAGAAATGATCAGAATAATCACAGTTTGTAAAATATTATTATTTAACAACTAATATATCAATAGTTGTCAATGTCTCACTTATGTACAGTGGTAACTCAACTAGGATGGTTTTGAGGCAAATACTATTGAATGAATTTCAGTTGATGTGTACAAAGTTATAAATGAACTTTATTCAAATAAACACGCATTTCACAAAACGACATATGTAAGCTTTATCTTCTCGAGTTTTACAAATTAAAACATACTTATTTTTTCCAATTCCTCCCAATCAACTAAGTTTAATGAAAAGAAACAGAATTATACATACTCCTGCTGGAGTATTAAGTCAACAGTGTCTTATTCATTACTTATTTTCAAAACATTTATCATATAAAAATTGGAAATTGGAATTTGAAATGTTTGATTGAGCCTAACAATCTTTGTAACAGTTGATCTGCTTTAATATTGTTGATCGTTCACTTGGGAGTGGAAAGTGGTTAATAGTTTCAGTTCAGTAGATTGTAGACGCTAACATGAGAAATACTAACTAATCAATTAAATATCGATGACTACTTGTCTAAAATAGTATAAGTGTTGAAATATCAATCTGAAAGAGAATGATTATGACATGATTGATGTATCATCTCTGTTATGACGTGATAAGCATAATGGATGTTAACTTTTGGGATCCACTTATGAACGAATACTATGAGTTTATTTTTATCGTATAAATGTTAAGTAACTAAACTATTCATATTCATATCCCTCTTATTATTAACTTTACTTTGACTTATGAACTATTATTATACGATCTACCATTCTTGAATTATGCCCTGTCTATTAATCACTCACTACCTCCTACATTCACAGCCATATTTGGCCAAATCTTGTATAAATGTTGTTTCGTATTTTATTGGTACGATGTGATCTGTCTGGTTGGCATTATAAACCGAGTATGTTTGAAATAAATGATTCATATTGGAGAGGCTGAGATCGATGTTCTGAATTTAACTGTCCATGCTAGGCAGGAAGCAGGACCGATTAGTACTCCAGACTGCTCGCACGGGTTTTATGCGTCATTGATCCGATTGATAATTCAATGCTCTCTCATTGGCGGTATCGTTACGTATACGTTAGCAGGGCACTCAGGCCATAAGTTATAACAATTTCCATAGGTGAACTTGAACCTTTATTAATAAATAGCATAGTATTTTGTAAAAGAACAATCTTTCCACAAAGATTATGTCATATTTAATAATATACACCGGCTATCAATGTTTGACATGACTGTTCAAACTATACATAAATCATGAGTTAAATGACGTATATATATATATATATATATATATATATATATATATATATATATATATATATATATATATATGATGGAGATATGATTTGATGACTTACTAGGTCGAGGTATAGCTTGAAAAATATTTCAAAATATCAATTGGCACAAATAATTTAAATGAAGTAACAATGTAGATAGGTAACGTTATCTTAAATCATCTTCTAAATAATTTCTATTCTGGTGTTAATTGTAATTCCCATTAAGTAAACAAACTGTCAAATATATGATTATCTCATGGATGAGGCTGTTGATGATAGATTATAAATCTGGTTTAAGAAAAGTATTATGATTGAATATCAGCCATTCCATTCAAAGATTAAATGGGGTGTATTATTTACAAGATATGATAGTTCCATGAAAAGATTTGTAATAGATTCGATTGATTTCTTTTCGGAGATAAAAATAGATTTAGCCTAATTTATTACAACGTTGTTGTAAATGTCTTAATAAAGCTTGTCTATTATTGTATGGTTTACTTTTCGTATGAGTGTGATTAGATTACCGTTTGTAAAGAGGGATGTACTAATGCTTTTAATGCTAAATATTGTAACTAGTTAACTAAAAAAACTCCAACTGGAGTCCCTCTGGAGGCCACTGCCGGTACCAAGTCCGAATAAAGGAGGAGGGTTTTGCATGGTGTTAGCGACCCCATCTCGCAGAAAACTAACTCGCTAAAAACGCTAACCAGAAAATTATTCAATTAAGTAGAAACTAGCGATAAATATTTTCAAATGGCTTTAAATGTAAATGAGTAATTTCGGTTATTTATTTACTCTGAAGAAGCGATTTATGCTGAGTTACAAAACATCGGAAATATAATTTTTCTATTTATTGGGATATAATAGAAATATATTGATTATTAACTTTCTACCTAATGCTTAATTAATTTGAAACTATCAAGTTCAATCTTGGTAGTGATAATTCTCAACTTAATCTGTTTAATATTAGAAGTGGTTTTTTGTGGATATTAAAGTAACTTCAATGGTTGAGATCATGAGTCAATTGAAGCTAGGCCATCATGGAAAACCTGAAAACATGGTGATTCCAGGTCTAGCTTCAATTGACTCATGATTACAACAACTGAAATTAATTTGTTTAGTGAAGAAATTCATACATTTCATGTAACTATATGTTTCCATCAATTATTTATTTCACAGATTGAAATCATGAGTCAGTTGAAGCTAGATCACCATGTAAAACCAGTAAGCACTGGACGGCTGTTTCGTCCCAATATGTGACTCCTCAGCAGTGCGCATCCACGATCCCGCACCCCGCGGGATTTAAATGCAGGACCTACTACTTCCGAACGCGAGCACTTAACCACTAGACCACTGAGCCGGATGCGCACTGCTGAGGAGTTCCACACTAGGACGCAACGGTGCTTCCAGGTTTTCCATGGTGTTCTAGCTTCGATTGACTCATGATTTCAACCAGCGAAATTTCTAAAAATCTCCATAAAACCCATTTTGATAGTTATTTATTTATTGAGACTTTACATCTGTATTTGAAACAATTCAAGCTGTCTCAGTTTTTTCACATTTTCAAGGAAAACTATAAAAATTCGTTAGTAACATCTTCTTGCATAGAGCAAAAATGTTTTCCAATTTATGTAGTCAGCTTTAAATCACAATAACGGAAGTAAATACACCTCCTCATTTCGATGATCACACAAATTTCATAAGAATATATGAAATATAGTGATGGGTTCGTCAGTGTAAGTACTATTACAAATATGAACTAGTGAATGAACATTGTTCGATAACTTACGTTGATCTCCCAATGCTATGAAAAATATAAGATGTAAGTATATTTATAATCAAGGAGCATGTTTCACTTTGAAAGCAGTTTAAACAATTATGGTTCATTGTTATTGAGACGTAAGTTATATTTCTTCGCACGAATCTTCCTAATTGATATATATATATATATATATATATATATATATATATATATATATATATATATATATATTCGTACCCTTAATAAGTGACGGTTAGCAAATGACGTTTATAACTATACTATTGCCTATAATGATTGGTTCTTTATAAGGGATAATTTACAAAATAACTTTAAATGTTATTACTACTCATAAGTAGCAATTATGCCTAAGGGGTATTTATTTCAATAGAAATTTGAAAGTTCTTGAATCCTCATTGTATTATTAATAAGCTCAGGGGATACCCACATAGAAATTGAAAGACAGTTGAATATCTTTATTATTTTCTGACAATTAATAATTATAACAGGTTTGAAACTATTTTGGGAGTCGATGTTCACTGAATACATTATCATTTTGATACTAGTCAAAAGGCGCCGACCGCGTTTCTTAACCTGTTCTGTCTGTCTTCCAGCTTTTAGAGTCCATCTTGTCGATGCCAATCATTACCGAATAGTTTTATCATATAATCAGAAATATGTTATTTGTAAATGACAATGACAGAGTGAATACATCGAAATACTTCTAAATTTAATACAGATATATATCAATGTGTTGTCGTTATTCAGAAGTACATCTGATTAATCATCACTGAAGCATAGGGTCATTTACGGATCGTTTACCATTGCCTAGTGATATACGGTTTTGTCAATCTTTCGAACCAAGACAGGAGTTTCAACTTGTTTAGTGGCTGTCGTATTCACTAGCTTGCATTATCATTTTAGTGTTTACAATGTGAATGAAATCTAGTTCGTATGGATTTCTTTTCAACACTTCATGCGACAATCTATTGAAACTAAATAATATTCAATTGGTTCATCAATTGTAAAGATATTCGTTTGTTGTTAACTTATCACACAATTGATATCCCACTACTGACTTTAATGCAGAATTATAACAAAGAAAACCTATTGAACAATTGTGAAGTGTTGTTTTTAGTGACTAGCAGTAAACATCATGATTCTGTTAGTCTGATTAGTTGACTGCACTTGCACCCGTGTTTATATTTACATCTAGACCTCAACCTGTTAACGTTCGCTTGAGACACTGAATGTTACATTTACTCAAATTTCTAGTACAAATAGCCACCGACTTGTGCAAGGAAGATGAAATCTTGTCGGTATGTATCCTAGAGGACCCTCAGAATTTTGAGTGAAATGATCTTGAGTTGACATCAATACCACATCTATCCTTTCTGGATGTACGTATTCAAAAAGAGACTGATGAATCGGAGTGATTAAAATCAACAATGGGATGACATAAACCCTCACAAATGAATAAAAAATTCTATAACATTTTCAAGACTATTTGAGAGAATGAAACAGAAGGAAAAGCATTAGTTGGGAAATGATTTTCACTTCATGTGAGTGTTGAATGTAAATTTGTATTTAAAAATGAGAACTGGTTTAGTATTTTGGTGTAAAATGTACCAGTTAAATAATTGACAACCAGTATGATTGATCTCCGATGATTTTACTTTGAAGTCATTGATTGGAATAAATGGATACGTTTATTTATTTATTTATTTATTTCAACACATAAATATTGGTACAAGAGGGCACCAAATATATATGCACCACACCATATTTGTGTGTGTGAGGGCTGTGATACTGCCCAGGTGCCCAGACCGAAGCATGTGGTTTTCTTAGAGGGCCACACCCCGAACCTTTGACCTTACGTTCTGACCCACAAGGCAGTGGAGCATCGTGAGGTGATGCACTCCCATGGTAGCCAGTGACCAACGATTGGTTCATACGCCGTTTGTTCCCGCAGGATACTGGAGCCCATGTGCACCATTGGTTTGGGATCCGGTTAAAGTGCCGGATATTCGCTTATCATCCTCTCAATTTCGCAAACAACACCCCCACCACGAGGAGGCAGTGAGTAGGATTTTCCTGGCAAAGTAATACGTGATTGTTTGTGTCTTGATCTATTTTAGAGTTGTACTCCTGGAATCAGAATCCATCAGTTTACTTCATCTTAAGAATGAATCGAATAGAAATATTTAGTTTAATGAATTAAACATTCATGAAAACAAGATCAACATAGTGTATTTTATAAAGACAATATTCCATCACTTACTCTTGTCGAATAGTACTTGTAAAAAATTGTAAAAATAAAGGAATATATGTTTATACGAAACAATTAAGGAATGAAATGAACATAAACTACGTACACAGATTTATATTCTTCATCTTCACTTTTTTAATATGCAAATTATTAATTCATACTGATTCGCTAATTTCTGTCATACCGTGATGTATACTACTGATGTCGACGAATATAAGTAGCAAATATTGTCCACTACAATACCTGTTTTAATTGTACCATCCACAACTCATTACAATAATGTAATGCATATTTATTACCAATATTTCAAGGATAGTTGTATGCTTTTTATTGATTAAATAAGTCCTTTGATAAAATCAGTTCCATGTAAATGTAACTATATAACAATGATAAACTTTATGTTTCCAACATTATTTTTTGTGTGGACTGAAATTAGTCAAGTTTGTATTAAATGGCTTACCATGTACAGCAGCTTATAGAGAAAAGGATCAAGAGGATATGAAAATCGAATAAATATGTAAAGCATATTCGTTAAAGAATAAAGTTACGGTAGTAGAAAGTTATAGCTTTAGTTCAGAGAAATACTTTGAGTGACTTTGAAACTGATCAAACAGATGTAAACTGGTCAGAGTTCGGCTGCAGTGCAAATAGTACACTGTATTAAGTTATATAATTATAGAAGAGACAGTATTTTAGAACTTAGGAATAGTAGAGTTTGACTCGACCAACCAAGATAAAACATCACTAACTCGATAATTTATTTCTCAGGTCGTGTAAAATAAAACTTACATATTACAAAGAAACATGGCCTCCCTATTACAGCTCTATGTCTAATAGCTGACTTCATCCAAAATATAATACTATGTAAAATGATGTTATCTCTAGAGTCATGGCACTCTCCGTAAGTCATATGTTACCTTTACCTAATAAGAATGCGGTTCTTCAATACTTTGACTTTCGGTAAGTAATAGACTAAGAGATAATCATGTAAACTAGCTGAATAACGCAATCTCGTCAAAAACAGTTTTTCGTTTTGCATTAACTGAATATTCATAAACACATTTAGAAACTGCGTCGTACTCCAGTAATCCATATGTTCTTTCTAAATAATCGACTCTATTCGATTGAAGGTAATCAATATAGCTTAGTTCTACACATTAAAATTGAGTGACAATTATTGTGAACACACATTATCAATTAGCTAGAAAGCATCAAAATGTACTTGCTGAGACTCATATTCTATGAATACAAAATTTACTATATTATATGTTGAAGAAAAGTTGGTACTTTTCTAACTGTATTATACCATGTTTGAATAACGAGGAATATAGAAAATGCACATTTCCACTTGTGTGGTTAGACTGTTTTCATCAGAATGCATTAACTGAGACTGATCAAACCGACAGATTATACAAATATTGAGCATATGATCAGCAAAATTCGAATGTTTAAAAATTGAATATTACAAAGTCCAACTTACAGTCTGGTAATGAAATGTGAAAAAGTGCAACAAATGTGATTAATTAAGATTGAGATGTAAATCATATTGGTTATCATGAACACTCATAATTGATATACGATATCAATGTTATCAATATGTAATGGTAAACCAATAATTCATATTGTTGCACATGAGTCGATTATCATTGATTCATTATAAAGAGTAATTTAAAAGTAAACTGAATGCACTCATTAAGAAATCACAGAGTTACAAAGATTAGTTTAGAGAAATGTTCTGTTTTCACAGAATTCATTTCTGAGGCGTACAATCGGATATATCTTGTTTCTCAGAACGATATTCATAATTTATGGCCATGTAGGGCTCTCGAATTCTGTTGCATAGAATATTTATTGATTACTTACTTACTTACGCCTGTTACTCCCAATGGAGCATAGGCCGCCGACCAGCCCAACCCACTCTGTCCTGGGCCTCCTTTTCTAATTCCATCCAAATCTTGTTCATCTTTTTCATGTCTATTTCCATTTCTCGGCGTAATTTGTTCTTTGGTCTTCCTCTTTTCCTTTGGCCTTGAAGATTCCATGTGAGGGCTTGTCTTGTGACGCAGTTGGGTGCTTTCCTCAGTGTGTGTCCTATCCAGTTCCAGCGCTTCTTTCTGATTTCTTCCTCCGCTGGGATCTGGTTTGTTCTCTCCCAAAGTACGTTGCTGCTAATAGTGTCCGGCCAACGGACCTGAAGTATTTTGCGTAGAAAACTGTTAATAAACACCTGTATCTTCTGGATGATTGCTTTCGTAGTTCTCCAGGTTTCCGCCCCATACAGTAGAACTGTCTTGACATTTGTATTGAAAGTCCTGACCTTGGTGTTGGTTGACAGTTGCTTTGAGTTCCAGATGTTCCTCAGTTGTAAATATGCTGCTCTTGCTTTGCCGATCTGCGCCTTCACATCTGCATCAGATCCACCCTGTTCATCAATGATGCTGCCCAAATATGTGAAGGTTCTAACATCTTCCAAATCTTCTCCGTCAATTGCGACTGGATTGTTGCATGCTGTGTTGTATCGTAGAACCTTGCTCTTCCCTTTGTGTATATTGAGACCTACTGCTGCTAAGGCTGCTGCTACACTGTTCGTCTTCTCCTGCATTTGTTGTTGCGTTTGGGTCCGTGGGTGCTGCTTCGATGTTGGGTGGGTTCAGTGGAGCTGGTCGATTCAAGAGTTCTTTGAAGTGCTCTACCCACCTGTTTTGTTGCTCTTCAATGTTGGTGATTACCTCGCCTTCCTTGCTTTTCACTGGTCGTTCTGATTTCCAGAGAGTTTCTTTGTTATGTCATACAGTTGTCTCATGTTCCCTTCTCTTGCAGCCTTTTCCGCCGTCTTTGCTAGATCTTCCACATATTTACGTTTGTCGGTTCTGATGCTCTTCTTCACTTGTTTGTTTACTACTGTGTATTCAGCTTGTGACTTGGCTTTTTCTGCTCTTGTTCGACTGGTATTGATTGCTGCCTTCTTGTTTCTCCTTTCTTGAATCTTATCCAGTGTATCAACAGTGATCCATTCCTTGTGATGGTGCTTCTTGTGACCCAGGACCTCATGACATGTTGAAGTGATTGCCTCGTTGATCCCCTTCCAGTTGCTCTCCACAGTAGTTCCTTCTCCATTGAGTAGATCATGAAAGGCCTGGAACTTGTTGCTGAGGACTATCTTGAATTTGTTGAGTTTGTTAATATCCTGAAGAAAGGCCGTATTGAACTTTTGTGATATTGTCGGCCCCATTGTCCAGTGCTTCTTGAGTTTCAATTTCATCTTGGCGACCAGAAAGTGATGATCTGATGCTATATCGGCTACTCTCTTGGTTCTCATGTCTTCTATAGTCCTCCTGAACGTTTTGTTGATGCAAATATGGTCGATTCGGTTTTGCGTGGTGTGATCCGGTGAAGTCAATGTGGTTTTGTGAATGCGTTTATGTGGGAATATGGTGCCGCCTATGACCAGTTTATTGAAGGCATATAGGTTTGCAAATCTCTCACCATTTTCGTTTCTTTCTCCCAATCCATGTCGTATTTAGTGATTAATTTATACAAATCCCTCAATAAGAGTAGGTGAAACTGTTAGTTGACATAGCATCGGTCTACAGATAGTTTCTGAATATCGACTGGTTGTAAAATACTAATTACAGGGTTTCTGTAAAGAAGAGTATTATAAGTGATCAAGTGAGTTGCAACTCGAATGTCAGTATTGTAATCGATGTTCGCATACAGGATTTTGATTGGTGTGAAAGTTATCTGTACTCTGAATAGTTTGAATATTATACTTATATCGATAGGCCTCAATGGAAAAGACTGTGAATGATGTCACCACTAATAAGTAACGAAAACACGCAGCAAACATGTATTTCGACTAGTGAGATGATAGTCGAAATACATACTTGTGAAATTATAGATAAGTTCTAGAATTGTCGTTGTGGTAGTTGTGATGGTAGTCTCAGTGATAATATTAGAATCATTAATGCTGTTAGTGTTGGTAGAATATGTTGTATTGGTGAGAGTCGAACGGTTGTACGATAGTCTGAGATGTGTATAGATATCCACAAAATAAAATAGAAAGTCAAATTAACTTTAATATCAAATGATAATAATGAGGGATCCAATAGAGTTGATGCAAATTATACTTGTGAATTAACCATCATTTATATAATTACCATAATAAGCTATTATTCTTGATTCTACTATCCCATCTGTTTCTCGATTCAACAGTTTAATTGCACCGATATTAATCATCTAGGAAGTGTGTTACTGTAAAATGGGAAACATTTTCCATTTCGACTTGTCATTAACAATGCATGTGATGCATGCATGCTCACATTGTCTCCAGAGCATTTGAATTAGACATTTGTATGTGCTCCGTACTCAATAAAATCAATAGGTGGTTGTATTACAATTGAAGTGATTTTGATTTATTGAAACAAGTTTTTGTGTGTGACTTCAATTTGTCTGAATAGACAAGATGAATATAGTCAGATTCATTGGGTATTTGTAGATAATTAAAACGCATACTGAGATCTGATGGCTATTCATCATACATTTTTCTAAAACTACAGCATGCTTTGTACAAATGTGACAGTATTAAACATTCTTGACGAGATAAAATTTGGCATACATTTTATCTTTATTTGACCTCACATTTCTGAGGTATGTATGAACTTTTTAGTCAATGTCTGATTTAGCTAGCACTATGGAAGGGTTATTGTATAATGAGCAACATGTGCTATTCGAAATGACAATGACGAGATATTTTCATTGATACACGTCTTCGATTTTATAAATATTTTTGTCATTTCGTTATATGTTTTCTGTAGTTCATTTGATAGGCAGTGATTATCGTGTTGTTCAATATTACGTAAGGATACACTATCTCATCATAGTTGTGGATCATCGCATATTACTTTGCTCACTTATACTACTGTGATGAACGCTACTCATGAGACCACTTGTAGTTGGTTACCTACTTACTTACTTACGCCTGTTACTCCCTATGGAACATAGACCGCCGACCAGCATTCTCCAACCCACTCTGTCCTGGGCCTTCCTTTCCATTTCTATTCAATTTTTGTTCATTTCCCTCATGTCTGTCTCCATTTCTCGACGTAATGTGTTTTATAGTCCTCCTCTTTTCTTTCGGCCTTGAGGATTCCATGTCAGGACTTGCCTTGTGACGCAGTTGGGTGCTTGTAGGTAGTACTCATACATAACTAAACTGTTTGAAAAAAGGTCGGTAATGGATAGAACAGATGTCATGAAAGTCATCAGACTTCAACACGACGTAAGCCCTAACTTGGAATCCTGAGTGGAAACGAAAAACAGGAAGGCCAAAGAACACACTTTGTCAAGAATTAGAAGCAAACATGAAAAGGATGGATAGCAACTGGGAGAGATTACTTTGGATAGAGTTGGGTCAAGAACGCTGGTAGGGAGACCTATGCTTCTCCACAGGGGATAACAAGAGTAAGTAATGAAAAAAACAACGTGTATCGTATTCAGAGATAAATTGCTTTTGTTCGAAAAAAGATTTTGTCGATTTTAAAGATTATAAATACTCCCAATACACATCCTTACTATTATGGCGAAAATAGTTTTATTAGAATACATTGAATATTAGTACTTAACTTGATTATAAATAAACAATATATATATATGTCATGTCCCAATGAGTAGAAAAATTAGATTTTCTGATGTTTCGTGACTTAATGTAAGTCACTTCTTTAGAGAACAAATAACCAAGTTAAAATTAATACAAGTTTAAATAGTACGACGGAACAATGCAAGAATAATATATGATCAGTCAAAAACAAGTCTGAACTAGTTAATTTCATGTCATTTCGTTCTAGTTGATTCATGTATGTGAATTTGTGTATACGTATGTATGCACTGTTTAAGGATGAAAAATTGTGTGACGTTTATGATGAGAAAGGATAGAGTTTAATTTGTAAGATAATAGTGTGAATTGTAAATAATATCAGACTATGTGGCTAGGATGGATTGTCCAAGTGTAAGTCCAACTAGTAAGGCCTTCTTTTCTATTGAGAGTAGTACGATTAAGCATCATATGGAACGCTTCAACTACTCTCCTTTCTTTGTAATCAGAAAAGCATTTTTGCAACATTTGGATATTTTTTGAAGTCGATTTAGTGGTCGTTGAAAATGGCGTGAACTACTATTGCCGATTTAATTTGAAGTTTATCCAGTTCTACGGGATTGTTAGTAAAGTAACCTCTTAATAATCCCGTAGAATATTACAAATCTATTATTTATTTATTTATAACAATCTACCCAATGCTCAATTTATTCGAAATGATTAAATTAAACTTTGGTATAATGATACCTGATTAACTTGATTGTTCAAACACTATTTTATACATGAATGAAAGAGTATACATTTCGAAAACAAACTTACGGCCTCCCATCGCAATTTGGAAATGTACGACAACCAAGATAAAGTTCAATAATACTGTACAGTACATTCTTCTTTAAAGAATATTCATTACTTCATTTCATTTTATACTATTATGATGTGATAGTGATTCGTTAATTTTAATCTCTACCCCACAGTCTGTAATGATTGGTATGTTTTATGAAAAATTATTTTTTATAATTTAAACTGTACAGACACAGATCAGTAGATAATGAATTAATACCAAAATACATACCCGGGAAGTTTGAAACAAGTTCTGATGTTTGCAGTATAATAGTACTGGTAATAATAATAATAATAATAATAATAATAATAATAATAATAATAATAATAATAATAATAATAATAATAACAGAACGATGGCAGTAATGGCAGTAGTATCAAAAGCGATGTGAGTAGTAGTAGTAGTGGTCATGTGATTAATATTAATAATAGTATTAGAAATTGTAGAATATTTATTAAAATTATTGATAACATTGATGGATAGTAACATAAAGTAATAAATACCATATCAAAATTATTATTGAGTGATAATATTTCGATACACCATATATACTTAGTCTTATTTATTAACACAAGTGTCTTATGAAATCTCAGACCAAATTTCTGGGTTCGAGTTTCATGTGCGAAGTCGTGGGTGTGCATTGCTGAGGAGTCCCATACTAGGATGAAACAATCATCCAGTGCTTTCAGGTTTTCATTGGTAGTCTAATATTGATCAGTTCATGATGATAATTCAAGAAGTCAACAATCTTCACAATCCTGTACTGATAAATTCCAGTTAGTTGTAACGAAATTTAAGTTTACGATGAATGATGTTGTGATAATGTTTGTGTACTTATTATTACATATCCACGTATAGATATGTCGAAGATGACGTTGTGTCTTCATAACCGGAATAATGATGTCATCTTATAAGTTAAAAAGATAAAGCTTGTTTGAATGGATTTAACAGTTTCTTTGCTCACGTTTTTATATGATGGTTTTGTCCATTTAACACATAAGTAACACAAGTAGTATAAAAGAGTCTAAATGAATAATAGATTGTTAGGATCTTAAAAATTGAGGCTGGTGAAGTTAAATAATCAATGAAGAAAGAGCGTAATTGATACACTGTAACGTTGCAAATATTTTGTACAAGAGAAATTTAGAAACTCCAGACACATCAGAACTTCGTACACTACCGAGTTATTGATTGGTTAGATACTAAACTTAGTTATTTTCAAAACTTAAATATATAAATATACAAAACTTCATCAGGCTTTACTCTAATAAATAAGAGTAAAGCCTGATGCCAAATTACCTCTCGAACGCTTAAGGGTATTTATAGCCTTATTGATTTTCATGCATGTGAAGGAGTTGCTATATACGTATATAACTCTTGAAGCATAGCCAATTATGATTTCTACACCATTCGCTAATCTACCACTGAAAAGGTCTCGAAACCAGATTGCTCGGATGTGATGACGTTCACACAGTGGAAAATTCAAATTAAGTCACCAATTTTAACAGTTCGAAATTCGTGGTAAGGCTCTATGAGTGCAGTGGTAGAAATAAAGATCTATTTAAGATAAATGTGACTGACTCACACACTGACTTAAAAGTTCACGCATACCTCAGAAATCTGAGGTCAAATGAAGATAAAATGTATGCCAGTTTCATCTCGCCAAGAATGTTTTACACGGTCACATTTGTACAAAGCGTGCTGTTTGTAGAGAATTGTATGATAAACAGCCATCAGATCTCAGTATGCGTTTTAATTATCTACAAATACCCAATGAATCTGACGGTATTCATTTTCTCTATTTAGACAAGGTGAATGTCACAAACAAAATCGTTAACCTCGTTTCAACAATTCATAATTACTTCAATTGTAATACAACTACCTATTGATCTTATTGAGTATGGAGCACATACAAATGTCCCATGCAAATGCTCTGGTGATAATGCGAGCATACATACATCACATGCATTGTTAATGACAAGTCGAAATGCAAAATGTTTCTCATTATACAGTAACACATTTCCCTATTCATTAATTTCGTTGCGATTACACTTTTAAATCGAGAAACAGATGGTATAGTAGAATCAAGAGTAATAGCTTATTATGGTAATTATATAGATGATGGTTAATTTACAAGGATAACATGCATCAACTCTATTGGATCCCTCATTATTATCATTTGATATTAATGTTAAGTTGACTTTCTATTTTATTTTGTGGATATCTACACACATCATCTACTATCAAACAACCTTTCTACTCTCACTAATACAACATGATCTACCAACAATAAAAGAACTAATGATTCTAATATTATCACTAATACTACAATCACAACTACCACAATGACATTTCTGAACCTTCTCTAATATATCACAAGTACATATTTCGCCTGTATCTCCGCCTGTAGCTCTTCTAGAGTTACTGCCGATCCCATGCTCGGGTAAAGGAGGAGGTCTACGCACGGGGTTAGCGACTCCATTCCGCAAAAAACCAACTCACTAAAAAAACGCTAACCAGAAAAAATAATTCAAACTCTGCCCTGAAAGTTAAAAGGTCTTCATTTAGAAGAATTATGACGCTTCATGGTGAAAGCCGAGCTCCTTCGGAAGCCACGAGGCCGATGCCCCTTCCAACAACCAGAGCAAAAAATTTTGTAGGTACATGGAACGTTCGAACAATGTGGGAGACCGGGAAGACCAGTCAAATATCAACGGAAATGAGGAGATACAACTTGGCAGTACTGGCAATCAGTGAAATCTATAGGACCCAAGCTGAACAACAAAGGCTAAATACGGGAGAGACGCTACTATACTCCAGACACAAAGAGGAAAATGCTCCACATACTCAGGGAGTTGCTCTAATGCTTTCTAAAGTAGCACGAAATGCACTTATAGGATGGGAATCTCACGGATCCAGAATCATCAAAGCATCATTCAAAACAAAGAAGGAGGGGATCACAATGAATATTATCCAATGTTATGCACCCACCAATGATAGCAACTACGACATTACAGATCAATTCTACGAGCGGCTGCAGTCAATCATAGAGAAGTGCCCAAGAAACGACCTCACCATTTTGATGGAAGATCTAAATGCCAAAGTTGGAATAGACAACACCGGATATGAAGATATCATGGGACGACATGGACTGGTAGAGAGAAACGAGAATGAGGAAAGACTTGCAAATCCGTGTGCATTCAAAAAATCGATCATAGGAGGCACAATATTTCCACACAAACGTATACACAAATCTACATGGATCTCACTGGACCACACCACAGAGAACCAGATAGATCATATCTGCATAAATAAAAACTTCCAAAGGACAATGAAAATGTGAGAACCAGGAGATCATATAGCTTCAGATCACCACCTAGTTGTAGCCAATTTAAAGCTGAAGCTGAAAAAGAACTGGACAACTGGACAAACACCATTACAAAGGTTCAATACAGACTTCCTTCGAGATACTGACAGACTCATAGAATTCAAGATAGCTCTCAACAACAGGTTCCAAGCCTTACAAGATCTACTGAAGGAAGAAGAAACTACTATGGAGGATAACTGGAAAAGTATCAAAGAAGCATTAACTTCAACGTGTCAAGACGTTCTGGGTTTAAAGAAGCACTATCATTAGGAATGGATCTCTACAGAAACACTGGACAAGATCAAAGAAAGGAAGAACAAGAAGGCAGCAATAAACAACAGCCGAACACGAGCAGAGAAAGTCCAAACACAAGCTGAATACATAGAAGCAAACAAGCAAGTGAAGAGGAGCATTAGAGCCGATAAGAAGAAATACGTGGAAGAACTAGCAACGACGGCGGAAAAAGCTTCTAGGGAAGGAAATATGAAACAGCTTTACGATACAACGAAGAAACTAGCAGGGAAATACAGTAAACCAGAGAGACCGGTCAAAGACAAAGAAGACAATTCAATCACTGAAATTCAACAAAAGCGGAACAGATGGGTAAAATACTTCGAGAAACTCCTGAATAGGCCGGCTCCAATCAATCCACCGGACATCGAAGCGGCACACACAGATCTTCCCATAGACGTCAACCCACCAACGAAGGAAGAAATCAGAATGGCCGTCAGACAAATCAAGAACGGGAAAGCAGTGGGACCGGACAACATACCAGCTGAAGCACTGAAGTCAGACATCGAAGTAACTACAAATATGCTTCACCTTCTATTCAGAAAGATTTGGTTGGAGGAACAAGTGCTGATGAACTGGAAAGAAGGACACCTCATCAAGATTCTAAAGAAGGGAGATCTGAGCAAATGTGAAAACTACAGAGACATTACACTACTGTCAGTACCAGGAAAAGTCTTTAAAATAGTGTTGCTGAACCGGATGAAAGATGCAGTAGACGCTCAACTTCGAGATCAACAAGCTGGATTCCGTAAGGATCGGTCGTGTACAGACCAAATTGCGACATTACGGATCATCGTCGAACAATCAATTGAGTTGAACTCAACACTGTACATCAACTTCATTGATTATGAAAAGGCATTTGACAGTCTAAATAGGAGGACGTTACTGAAACTTCTTCGACACTATGGAGTTCCTGTGAAGATTTTCAATATTATCCGGAACTCATATGACGGACTACAGTGCAAGGTCATCCATGGAGGACAGCTGACAGATGCATTCCAAGTAAGGACCGGAGTAAGACAAGGCTGTTTACTCTCGCTTTTCCTTTTTCTTTTGGTGGTCGACTGGATTATGAGGACCTCGACATCTGAGGGAAAACACGGAATACAATGGACAGCTCCGTTTCATTTTATCATGTCATTCAACATTTATCTAGTTCATCATCCTCACATCAAGATAACACTAATGGGCAAATTACTGAATATCGTTATGAGAAACATGGTATGTGAGATTGTACACTTCAGAAGTGAACTCTCCAAAAGCACAACCTTTCTCCAAACTAATCTTTGTAACTCTGCGATTTTCTAATGAGTGCATTCCGTTTACTTTTAAATTACTCTTTATAATGAATCAATGATAATTGACTAATGTGCAACAATATGAATTA